GCTCCTTTTTTTGTTAGTGCCCACAACCTTTCTGGCTGGCACCTCAACTAGGTTCCATGTGGATCGTTGAAAACTCGACTGCTCATAAAGGTTGCTTAAAAGTGAACACCATTGCCTCGTGCTGCTCCTATTTCGCACTGCTTCACACATGAGATACCAGTATGCATCAGAGTCAACTCACAGAACCGCTGGCCACGATGTCCTTGCAAGAAAAGACGGCGTATCCCGAGAAACGTTGCATCAAATATCGCAAAGATGTCTGCACTTTTGACAGCCATGCTACAGCTTACACGTATACAACGGGCTGGGAGGATCGCAGAAACAAAAACCAGCTCAACTCGACCATTCACTGGATGCCCCGAGAACTCCTCATCGAAATCATGCTTCACCTCAAGCCTGAAGAACTCTTTCTTTTCCGACAGACATGCAGTCTGACTTTCCAACTATCTCTGAGAGGCGCATTTGCTGAGAACTATAAAACAGCAGAAGAAAAGCAAACACCGCAATGGAAGCCTTCAGGGCTACAACGACTGTTCAGGTCAATATTTGACCTTCAAGTACGGCGGCAGGTTCCAGCCTTCAAGACTTTCCGTCTCCAAGATGACGGCAAAAAGAAGTTGAAAAGTTTGCGCCATAGGCATCGCCTGCGCAAGGACCTATGCCAGGAATGCTGGAAGCGGGTGGACTCGTCTACCGAAAAGCAATGTTCACATGGCCCAGAAGCGTCTACAACCCGCTTGCTCTTCTGCCATTATTGCGATGCCATGCACAACGAGAGCTGGTTCTCTGTGAACCGATATCAAAAGGGCCGTAGAGTCTGCATCGGCTGGGAGGGCAGTGTGCGAATCTGCTCCCACCACGATATGTCATGGTCTTCACTGATCTCCTTACAAATGGCTACAAGGGGCCATACAGAACCTGTCCTCTTTAAATGTGTGGAGTGCTCCAAGAGCATTGGATGGCCTGGCATGGGACCCAGGTTAATCAAGCGGCCATACTCGTACCAACCCAGTCCGATCGCTGTCAGCGGGAGTGCCGGGAGTGCGACAAATACAACGCCCGCATGTCCAGCTAAACGGACGACCATGAACACAACCTTGGAGTGGAAGCTTATAGTCTGCCAACTCCAGCCGACTCAAGTCGTGACCAAAGACCTTCTTCGACAAGGTCTGAAGAGGCTACAGCGAGACCATGGGGATTTGTGTTGCCCACACCTACGCTTCACCGACCAAGATGTCTTTATGTCGCCGTTCAACATAAATCGGTGTGCATGTTTTAGAGACCCGGCGGTCATGGATAACAAATGTCACTGGCATCCACCAAGCGGATCTCAATCGGATCATGCCCGACGTTTTTGCTGCGCTTGTCATGTAGAAGACAATCCAAATTTGATCGGCAGATTCATGGTACACGATGGCTGGCAACACCAACAAGTCCATCACCACTCGATATTTTGCGGCCGTTGCAGTTTCAAGTATCTATGGAGACTAGAAGAAAACGACGTAGTCGTTTTGTTGGGGTCTTGGGACATTAGTACGGACTTCAAGTTTGCAGCCGCGCACTCTGGCCTGACTGAAGAGAGCTTCGGATGGATTCTGGGCATTGATCCTAGTACTTACACACAAGATGAGGAAATGCGGCACTCCACGTGGTGCGAAGACAAGAGTTGTTATAATTCAAGGGCCAAGAAACTTCACGATTGGAAGTGGCTCAACAAGTAGAACCATCTATCTTCAATCATCGATGAAGAGAGGCAGGCTTATGTGGTCTTTCTCTTCTCGCGCTCTACCTTCAGCCTATTGCAGGTCCAGGATATTTATATAAAGCTCAGTAAATCCTTCTTGGGACGCGCCGGTAGCGACCACTGCCCTCTGGCCTCTCCATCGAGACGCTCATGGTGATATGCGTCAACTTGCTTTGGTTTGCTGTTATTCATCTGACCCCCGGACTCCTCATCATCTTCATTACCCGGCTCGGGGTACTTCTTTAAATGCTCCAACGCCCATATCAGATCTTCGGAAAGCACAGGAGGTACCCGCCCTTTACCTCTGAGCGTCGGCAGGCCCGCCACCCTGTACAGACCCGTGAGCCACTCGAAGGTCTCGCCTGTCTCCCATGGGATGTCGTGAAACTTTCTTCCCTCCCGTCGAACCGTCTCTTCTCTTTCTCTCTCCCAGCGTTCTTGCTCCTCGAGAGGCGGTAGTGCGACAGAGTTCCTTCCAGAAAACAGTCTTGCCAGGGCGATGGCTTGATATTCGAAACTTCTGAATGTGAGAACGCGGGGCATGCCGACAATGCCCAAAGTTTGGAAATCCTGGAAGAAAGTGTGCCAGAAGATCTTGACCAGCTTTCCTTTCTTGTAATCGTACAGCGGCCGATTGTTGTTTTCCTTGCTGTTCCAGAACGGATACGAAGCCTTATAGCCCGTACAATAGATAACGTGATCTACATCGTCCAAGTAGGTGTCGTCTTCGAATACGATCCGCCCGTCGGGTTGAAACTCTCTGATGACGGGCTTCCAAGCCTGGCCAGGGGGTGGCTCATCACCATCCCAGCGTGATTTGCTACGACGAGACTGAATCACAGGCTCGGCGGCCGTCCCCACAAGCTCAGCCGTAACATCATGGCCCGATGCTGAGTTGCCGATCACAACAATCTTCTTGCCGGCGTATGGTTGCGGTGAGCGATATATCTTCGAGTGAACAACGCGGCCTGGGAACTTCTTGATGTACGCCTCCAGACCCTTTACTTGGGGGACCTATGATGTGTTAGTCTGTGTTATCGTTACATTTGAGATTGAACATACGTAAGGAACAGAATAGTGCCCGTTCGCAAAGACGACGGCATCAAAAATCTCCTGCCACCACACATCGACGTTTCTTGCTGGGTCAAATCTCCGCAACGTCAATCGCCACTGCTCAGGCCGATCAACGGCATCAATTCTCGTGACATCCTCGACGGTTGTATTAAGCACCAGAATATCATCCGTCTTGTGCTGCGAGAAGTAGTTTTCGATGTATTGTCGCGGGATCCAGTGTGGTGCGAAAGGTCCGTAGGCGAATCTTGAGTCGGAGAAAGACATTGCGATATCAGGGACGTTGGTTCTTGTCAATACGTTAGCACTGAACAAAGTACAACATTTGCCTCGAGCTAGTAAAGACGGAAAGGCTCACGTTAAGGAGTGGTAAATAGGAGTCTGCGTGAACCTCTCCTGAGAGGTGCTGTGCGGCTTCACCTGCGGAAGCTCGGCCGGGATCTCCAACGCCGGGTCCAGTTCCGGAGGCAGTAATCCCGGCTGAAGCGGAGGGAGCTCGGCTGGGTTCGGATCGTATATCCTTTGTAGGTTCAGTTAGTCTTTGCGCAGATAGCAGCGCCAATGAAAGAACCGTACCATGTTCCACCAGCAGATTCTCTTCGCTCGTACACCCGAATCTTCTCAAAATAATCTTCCGCCTTGAAAGCAGCAGCTGTGACAGCACCTATTCACACGAAATGCGAGTCAGCTCTACCGCAACCGTAGTCATCAAGCCAAATGTACAGACGATCGTGTCGCGGCATGGCTTCTTCCGTATCATATTGGGCTTGGCTTACCCGCAGCGCCGGCGCCAATGATGGCCACTGACTTGATTTTCCTTTCGCCGCCCATTTCAATTCCACAGAAGCTTAGACCAAAAAGCTGTGACAATGACGAGTTCTACACATCAGAAGCTCAGACCTAAGATGTACAACACATGCAAGTGAATTAAATAGAGAAACATTCCCCCGTCAAACACGATATCTTGCCGAGTGGCATCATACGCATTTGTCATCTATCAGATGGTTTGAGGGGGAACTGGGTTGGTCGGGTGCAATTCGCCATCTGTCGCCATCCTCCGATGTGATTTCACCATCGATTGCATCACGTGAGCGCCGGGTATGAGTTTCGGCATGTTCTGCAAACTAGAAGCAGAAGCAAGCTCAAGGTTTCGGGTAGTCTTAAAATGGGGTTTTCATAAATACCTAGGCGAAGCTTTGACACATGACACTTTCAATTGAGTTTCGAAGGACTTTGATCAGAGGCATGCTGAGCTGGGTTCCCGGCGTGATGTCTACGGAGGCCAGCATCCGGCGATGAGCGGGGGCGGGGGCGGGGGCCTGAAACTGCCCGAATCGCCGAGGCCGGCCGGGATTGCTTGACGGTCCGATAGTGAGCTTTACTGGACAGCATTCCCGGAGCACTCGAACCCTTGGCTTGGCTCACTCCTTAGAGCTGAATTACAGTCAATCGACGTGAAGATGAACGTCTCGCTTAATGCTTTTCCTCTAACGCAGGCAGCATTTCAATCCCTCCCGTTTGTGTGAATGATTGGCAGGTATGTACTGAGTCCGTAGCACGCGCTAAGTTCCTTAAAAATCTCGCATGTCGTTGATGCTTGTGCAATGAGCGCTCGTGCCGTGCAAGGTATCTTTCGACATGAAATGCGCACTGCGCATTTCTTCTGTATTCAACAGACGAGAACCGACGACGCCCAACAGAACAGCCACTCTACCCAACCCGAGTCGGAAGAAGTCGATGTGTTCTGGTAACGAATACACACTCAACGCCTGAGGCTGCTGGTCAACCTTGAGGAGGCGCTTTTCTTGTGCGCTTTTGTCTTCTCTCCTGCATCGAAGCTCCTCTCTCAGAGCCGAGTTGTCACCGTTTAATGGGTGTGAAAACGAGCATCACATTCTGAGCGGAGATCTATCCACTGGCGGACGTGTCAGAAAAGCCAGAACTCTACCATTTGGTATTGAGCGATGGCTTCTATATGCTAATAGAAACGATTACAAATAAAATCCAGGTGTCTTGTCCTTTTATCGCGTTTAAATGACGGATGAGTCTGCCCTGAGTCACTCGTACACACCATGGTCTCAGTCGACGAGCTGATATATTCAATGAGACTTCCTATGCTGATGGTGGCTCCTTTGATGGTAAGTTAGTTATCAGGTCCAACTTATGTGTAGTCCCATGGCGAAACTTACCGACATTGAAAGATGGATAGCCCGATCACGAAAGCGCCAGCAAGGCTGGAAAACCCAACCCCAACCCATCCCAGTGCCCCCACGTACGCGACGAGACCCAATGAAAGGAACAAGAACGCCAGCACAATAAATAAGTGCATCATTGCTGACGCTACTATTCCAATCTTATCCCAGTTTCGATGCCAGGACTTGTCTTCGGCCTCTTGAGCTTGTTGGCGTAAAATGGTGAGCAGACTCGAGCTGTAGCCCGCGATGGCTATCGTGAGAATAAAACAAAGCCATCCTACCGCGAGAAATCGTCTGACTGTAGGTAAGGTGAATGGTGGCTGTTTTGGCTTCCAAAGCTTTGCTGGGTCCTCCATTTGTCCAGCTATGATAGCAAACGTGGACGCGCCAAAGATGGATATGGTGAGCATGATAGTGATGAATATTTGATAATCTTTGACGGAGGTTTCTATCACAGTCTCGTTCGGATGTTGCAATCTTGCCTTTACGGAATCTTCGCTGGGCAGACTCTGCTCGGCCGTGGCTTTTGGTGCGTTTTTAGTTGGCATCGGATCTGATGCAACGATTGAATTACTCGACGACATTCTGTCAATTGTTTAAACGGATTTCAATCAAGACGCGAAGTCTATTCCAGATTGAAAATAAGTCTCCCAAATGCTCGCCGGGCTGAAAGCAAATCGCGCAGAACGACGATATGTCGTGGAAGTTTCTGATCCGGAGGCTAAAAGGCTTAGGAAAATGTAAACTATGGAGAGGTGGCTGTTGCCTATTTATGTCCCAATTGACTTGTTGCGGAAAGTGAGACAAAGCGAACCAGCCAAGCTCTTGGGATCTAGTTCGCCGTCCTGTCCCAGGCAACTTGTGTAACATGAAGTCTCCCTAGCCAGGGCGTAACTGAGACCCTACGTCGCGTTCACGCATTAAATATGATGCGGTTAGACCGCCGGTGCTAATCTAGAAATGAGTTCTTCTTTCCTGCCGGGAAAAGACACCTAAGCATCCTCGACCTCCTGAAGCTGAATGAACGTTAAAACCTCCCTTGTTTGTTGTGATGTCCACCAGTTTACCTCGGCGAGATTACGTTGAACACCAACCAAATCATCAACAGAAGTATGATTGCATGGGTAAGGTATCCGTCCAATTCAAAATTGACAGAATATCTTCTAACTTGCGACCTTTTTGCTAGATATTTTTCCTGTTTTACGGCTGTTGCCTTGCATCCTTGTCAATTGTAAACCCCTCTAGTCAAGGAGCTCTGGGACTCAATCTTCTTGCCGATCCATCAGATGCTGAGATAGAGTAAGTATGTACCGCTCATTTTATGGGTAGCCTTAGCAGTGCTCGATCGGCTGAAAACGTAACGAATCAGCATCGTCGCAGTCCACGGTCTGGATGGACATTGGAGGAGATCATGGACTGCTGACAATGGCGTATTTTGGCTACAAGATCTTCTCCCGAGCAAGCTTCCAAAGGCGCGAATATACTCCTATAGCCACGACTCAAGGACAAGAGGGAGCGATGTCCCCTTAACGCTTGACATATCAGATCACGGAAGCGCACTGGTTAGCGATCTAACCGTCGAACGAATACTTACCGCTGTAAGTCACATTCAATCTCTGCGCATCATCTGAAAGCAACTTCCGGCCTTTCATATGTCTTGAGCCCGAAGCTGAAGTATTAAACATAGACCGAACGACGACCCATCATCTTTTTTGCGCATAGTCTTGGCGGATTGATTGTCAAAAGTGTAAGTAGTGACGTTAAAAAATAATGAAAGGATCGCTCCTGACTGATTAAAGGCACTTCTCCACTCAGACATGGCTCGGACTGGTCATCTGGAGGAGCAGAAGTCAATGAAGCTGTCGACTTACGCAGTACTTTTTCTCGGAACACCTCACCAAGGCGGGCAAGGAATCGAGCTTGCCCAAGTGCTGACGAAGGTGTTATCTGCATTTTCACATACTAACGAGAGGCTACTGAAACGTATGAAGCCAAATTCAGATTGGCTTATGGACCTTCAAAAGCGATACAACGCCATCAGCCAGGACTTCAAGACAGTATTCTTTTATGAAACTCTCAAAATGACAATACCTCTGCTAGGTCGTCTCCTTGTAAGCCACCAGACAGCTTCAATTTCAGCCTCGGTCATAGAATGTAGTAGAATTCTCTTTTCCGGGTCGATATTGCCGGTGAACCGAAGCGAATTCTACACTATCCCTATTGTCCCTATTCGCCAAGGTAGAGATAGAAACGGAGAGATGACTCTGACCGGACTTGACGCAGGTTGTACCAAAGTTTTCGGCAGTTGTGTTTGGCGCAGTGAATGCGGAAGCCATCCCGCTAATTGCGGACCACTCGACGATGGTAAAGTTCGCAAGCGCAGAGGACGAAAACTTCGTAAAGGTTGCCACAATGTTGGGCCTATACTCTATGAAGGCAATCGCAGCGTTTCCGAAAGATCGGGAAGACGGAAACGTCATCGAAGGTCCGGGATATGCGCCCTTATACAATTCTGACTCGGCTTACATTTCACAAAACAGAAAATGGCAAACATGAGACCAGCAGCAACACCCGGCAAGTGCCCAAAGAGTTCAGTATCGGTGTTAGCTTCAAGAATATTTGGAATCGCCATTTCACTGGCAGAAACCAAACTCTACTACTCATGAACGACTTTCTTCGGCCAGAGCCACGGCAACAGGAGCCTCATGTGGCTGTAATTTATGGCACAGGAGGGGTAGGTAAAACACAGCTTGCACTTGAGTATGCCCGCCGACAGCAACAAAACTATGCATTCCTCTTTTGGATCGATGCTCATCGTCCAGAGACAGTCAAAGCGAGCATTGGAGAATGTGTTGGTCATATTTTGGCACATTATCATCTTCACGGAATGACAGACAGCCCGCGTTTTGCTTTTCTAGAGAACGAGATGAAATTCGGAACGGCAAAGAAAGCTTTCCTTACATGGCTGGGCTACGAGGACAATAAGCCGTGGCTTTTGATTATTGATAACCTTGATGACCTGGAGAGTGTCAGTCTAAGGGAAATCCTTCCTTCTACCAAGTGGGGTTCTGTCCTAGTTACTAGTCGGAGATCTGATCTGGCAATCACTTGGGATTCGATCCAGATTCCCGTCATGGACCACGACGAAGCCTATGAGCTTCTGGTGCAAAGCAGTAATTTGAAGCCTGAGAATGGGACAGAAAGTACGCAACCAGACACTCGAAGTCTTACAAATCCAGCTGCAAGCAATCGGCTGACAAAAAGCTAGATCATCGGAGCGCCCAGGCTATTATTCAACGGCTCGCATATCTACCCCTAGCAATATCACAAGCCGGAGCTTATATAGCAATGCATCACTCCCCGGCACCATTTATGACATATCTGGATCTTTACCAAAAGTACCCTAAGGACGTCCTAAGTCGAAAAGCTAGGCAGCTAGAGTGGGATATCAAAGATGACACGGTATTAACCACGTGGGAAATCTCTTTCTCTGCCGTACAAAAGAAAATGCCAGAAGCTGCCACGATACTTTTGATATCAGGCAATCTTGCTCCGGAAGGTATCCCGCAGATTTTCTTCACTTGTGGAGGATTCTTATCTGGTATGTCCAATTCATCAACGTGGGGATCTAGACTAATAATGACGTTTTCATTAGAGCTGCAGGTCCAGCAAGCCTTCGGAATCCTGCTCTCTTTTTCGTTCATTCAAAGGTCTGTCGGCGCTAGTGATGTTTCGGTCCACCCTTTGATTCACTTGTGGGCAAGACTGCGCCTGAGTCTCGTTGAGCAAAAGACCTTGAAGGAAACATCACTAATCATGCTGGATGAGTATGTTGGCCGTAGCAAGGACACCAACAACAACCGTCGTCATATTTCGCACTTTTGGTCCATTTACACCAGTATAGAGCCCTGTGACACGCCTTCAGATATTAATCTTCCGGCAGTTTGCTACGATGCCGCCAATAGCAACGTATTCAACATTTACCCTTATACAAAAACAGTTCATACGGTCTTTTCATGCATCACCGCTACCAAACAACTTATTTTTCCATTTCATTTTAACCTGCAGCGACTTCCAACCACAGAGTTCCATCGCATCCGCCGCGGCATTCTGCTCTGGGAATTCTTAGGGAGCAGGCTGTTCGATTTCAGGATTGGGGGGTACAAGAAATTCGAAGACGTTCCTTCGTGGCAATTTTGCCAAGCTTCAAAACTTTTCCCGACCGAGGATAGCACTGTTATCACCGCTTTGTTCCTTCCTGCAGAGGGAACATTCTATAATGGTAAGGGTGATGTTGATCTTCGGTTGTACGGTTGGCTTTTGATTTGGTATGGCCAAGCCCGCGTGCATCAACATCCTGTGATTGCAGGTTTACAACTTGGGTTCGGCTTCATACTAGGCGTTTGTTACTCCGAGATGAGAGGTCTCCACTCGGCATATTATTCTTCTGGTCGAGAGGTCGACGTGGAAACCTTCAATGACGCCCACGACAAAATAGAGATGTGCCTCAGTGGGAAACCTCCGGGTTCAAGGCAAGAAAACGAACCCTCCCGCGCGATTATGTCGTGGAGCTTGGCATCAATAGTGTTCTGTCTTCAAGAACCCTGGAGCATATTTGTTGAGTGGAATCGCCTGCCAGGCATAGGATACACACGGAACGCGACAGACCCCTTTTCAAAGGCCGTGCTTAGTGGTCTTATCGGGGATACCGCGGACACAACGATCCCATACATGCTTCTTCACCTCCTGGACTGGCAGAGATCGGATTGTCTGGCATCCTGGCCGTTCTTTCTCGCTCATTTGGCAAAATGGTTCAGGATTCTGGTGAAGAACGAGATCGGCAGACAAAGTGCCGACCAAGTCGACAACTTATGGCATGAAGAGCGCGGGGAACGCTTCCCTGAGAGAACTTGCTACGCTTACACCTATTGGACCGACGACGGCAAAATCGAATGTTGCTACGATGAAAAGAGTGGCCGTACCATGTATAACATAGCGCATCAGAGACTGCATATCGAATGTCCTCCACCTCCAACAGATCAAGAGATCAAGAACGATCCGACAAACGAGTCCATGTGTCACATGGGTCAGCTGGCGCTATACCTATCTGTGTGGAGGGCTGGAACCGGAAACTCTACGGGTGCCCGGCTTTGGATCGCAAACATCTACACGAAGCCTCTCGAAACCCCTGACAGCACCAGGATCATATGGCACGAGTCGTGCCTTTTTCATGGAAAGCCACTGAAGCGAAGACAAACACGGTTCTTCTTCCCAGACAACGATCATGATCCTTATCCTGTGGCGAATTATGAGACAGACGGAGTCTTCGACCACATCACCAACGCAGCCGTCGATATCCTCCGAGGATTCCACCACAACGCCATCCAAAAGGGTCGCTTTTCAGAGCAGGGCGCTCAAGAGTGGCTAGGCATATCGAAGTCCATGGCTCAACTCTTACTCGGTCCCGGCATGCAGAAAGCTGCCAGTCAAGACGCAGACTTTACAGACTTTCTTGTGCGCTCTGGAAATCTCCCGGAAGAAAACTCCCAAGAGACAAAGCGCACCCTCAAAGCTTGGGACACATACGGGAGGAGATGTCCAGGTCGCATACTGCGGCAGACAATTGTTGACTACATCGGCTGGTTCACTCCGCAGGGTGCCCTGCCTTGGTCGTGTTGGGTCGATAACCCGCTGTCGATGATGTGCCCGGCGGTTCAGAGTGTTACCAGAAGACAGGGAGAAGCCATTGAGAGCAGGGACAGAGAGCACATTGCGGCAAGGTTTTGGAAGTTTTGGGGCTGGAAGAGCGGCTGAGATGGAGAATAAACATCACATCAAGGCAAAGGATCTGGAGGGTGCCGGGGTATATCACTCAATTGCAAAAATCAAAATCAAAGACCCTCCCTTAGGATAGGTCCCGATGATGGATGGTATCCCATCATGTTTTTATCTATTTACACAAAAAAGTGCTGCATGCATCTTTCATACAACACAACAAAATTCCATCGACACACATGCGTTTCCCATCATCTTTCGCTCCATCATTACAAAAAGCGTTTATCTGACCGCATCAATCTTTCCCAATCATACCCATCTGATATCAATAACTGCGTTCTCAAAAAAACACAAAACACAAATACCCTGCCCAAACAAGTAACTTACCTCTCTTGCAGTCCTTTATTCTTTCAAAAGAAAAAGGTCGAGGAAATGGGGGTAGGGGGATGAATGGGAAAACCGTAAAACGCCAAGGCTGCAAGACACATATTTCGTTTCGTCGAGTCGTGACCTCCTGTTTAGCAGGAGGTGTGGAGGAAGAAGCATGAAGAAGGAACGAACGCCCCGCCTCAGCGACGGAACGGGTTCGTAAAGCGGCTGGTCCCGCTCAACCTCGTCCCGCTCAGCCTGCTCCCGCCCACGCTGCTGCCCCCGACGCTGCTCGACAGGCTGCTCATCTTCTCGCTGACCTTCTCGCCGAAGCCGCCCATCCACTTGGGCATCTTGAGACTCAGCCGGCCCTCGCTGTGCACGATGATGCTGACGAGGTTGAGCACGGCGTACGTGCCGCTGCCGAGCGCGCGGAAGACGGCGAGCACGGCGACGGCCCACAGGATGAAGGCCAAGTAGAAGTTGTCGCCGATGCCGCGCTCGCTGTAGGCCTCGGAGACGGCCATGGCGAGGATGGCGTTGGCGATGAGCCACGAGAGCACCATGTACGTGCGCACGCTCTTGTAGTAGTCCTCCTGCATCTGGGCCTCGGAGAGGGACTTGGCGGGGACCTCGACGCGGTCGCGGAGGTTGCGCAGCGCCTCGTCGTAGCCGGAGTCGATGTCGAGCTGCTCCGAGGGCATCTCGAGCTCGACGCTGTTGCCCTTGCCGACGGCGCCGCCGAGGTCCGTCTTCATGACGTTGTCGCCCTTGGTGCCCCAGGTGACGTCGTGGGTGTTGCAGAAGGCGTAGACCTGGAGGGTGCAGATGTAGGCGGGCAGGAGCATGAAGTACTGGCCCGCCGAGGTGAACATGTGCCAGGGGTCGAGGTAGAGGAAGGACATGATGAAGTAGAGGCCGACGGTGGATAGGGTCGAGACGATGAGGTTCGTGAAGACGTTCTGGCCTAGGTGGATGTTTGGGTTGTCTTTCTCCTTGAACTGCCGGACGACGATGAAGATTGTGGCAAAGGTCGTGTAAATCATGATGATGCTGTAGGCGATCATGCTGAACATGTACAGTTTCTTGGCGCCTTGCGGACGGTTGCCGAGTGAGAGGATGAATTGTGCGCAGATGAGCAGCACGCAGGTGTACCGGAGGAAGGTGAAGATGTAGAGACCAATGTTGTGACCGAAGGGGTCTACTGTCGGGTCGGCCAGACCGCCCGCGACGAAGTAGAAGGTGAGGTAGAAGTTTGCCAGGGAGAAGTAGGTGAACATGAGCTGCAGGAACTGGTAGACGAATTCGATGTGGAGGAGAACCTTGCGGGCGAAGGTGTGGTCGGTGGACCAGATCTGCTTGAAGTGGACGAGGGAGTAGACGGCAGCGAAGAAGGCACCGTTCAGCCAACGACGTCTCTGCGAGATGAACTCGGGCACAGTGTCTAGTGTTTGTTAGTCGTGGTCAATTGATGGCCTAAGGGAAGTTTCTTACCTGGCACGTCCGTCTCACCGTGGCAGCCCTTCACATACTTCAACACCCAGCTCTCACCCCGTTTAGCGACAAGCTCCCAGCAGAGGATACGATCTTCAGCAAGGTACATGTTGGCCGTGAACACGTCTGCGTGCTGACCGTGCAGCGTCTCTCCCTTGAAGTACTGACTGAGAGGACCATGTCCCGTCTCGTCATTCTGCAGGGCGTGGTAACGATACGCACTAAGCGCACCGGGCAACACAGTAATGTACCCAAAGATGGACTCTAAAGGCTTATCCAGGATGTTGGACATCTTGTACTCAAAGTTTTGCGAAGCCACCAAGGGGTTTAACAGGTTCGATCCGAACTTCCCCTTCATAGCCTTGATCTCACCACAGGCACCCGCAACGTTGGAGTCGTTGTCGAAGGCCTTCCAGAGATGGTACAGCGACGTGCCGCCAGGTCTGGTTCCAACGTCGAGCAAAATGCACACGTTCGGGTTGAGCGCCTTTCCAAAAGCGTTGAAGAACCAACGATGCGAGTTCAGCTTCCGCTGGTTCTTTTCCTTCAGACAGAAGATCAGCTGGCAGGGCACGATTCCCTTCTCGGCACCCTTGAACTTGAGATCCGAGTCGAGCGACACCTGCGTCGTGTACTCGTACACGTGGGCCTGCACGGCCTTCTGGTTGACGAAGTTCTTGGCGATGCCGTGCTGGTAGACACCCATGGCAGCCAGGGCATCGAGCGTGCGCGGATGGATCGATCCGCGTCCGTCGGAGACGATGCAGACGACAATCTTCTGCCACCCCTGGTCGCCCCAGGTGCGCGAGCGGTTGCGCGAGCAAAAGTGAGAAATGTTCTTCATGACGGCGTACATGGTCCTCGTGAAGTCGAACTCGTTCTCGTTGTACATGGTGACGCAGATGAAGAGCTCCGTCTCGCGGGCCGTCTTGCCGATGCACTGGCGCAGCTTGTACCCGCGCTCGACGAAGTCGTCGGGGTCGCAGGTGACAGCGGTGTAGCGCATGTGGGTGAACTCGACCTCGTCGCGGCGCGGCAGGAAGCTGTAGAGGATCGTCGGGATCTTGCACTCCAGGACGAGCTCTCCGTTGATGAGCTGGACCTCCTTCCTCGACATCTGCGGAGCGCGCACGCCTCTGCGCTCCTGGTGTCCGTCGGGGGCGGGTCCGTAGTGCTCGACCTTTTCGCTGAGGTCGGTCTCGGCCTCATCCTCCTCGCTGAGGGTGACTTGGTCCTGGGACAGGTACGATTCTCTCATGGGGTGGCTCTCGCTGATGTCAGTCTCTGGGCCGAAAACGTCGTCAGAGTCGTGCAGGGGGATCGAGACTGTCGCGTCGTCTGCGAAGGCGGCCGAGTTGCGATTTCCACCGGTTGAGAACAGGGGCGCGGGCGGGAGAGGACGTCTCGGGCTCCCGCCGTATCTCGAAGACGGGGTTCCGGGTCGTGGGCTGCCATTGAGGTCGCTGGGTTCGTAGATGCCGGAAGGAGGCGGTCTCGTGAACTCGGAGGAAAGCCTGGAAGGGCTGTACGTTCTCGTCGGGGACTGGCGGCCGGCCGAGTACTCGTAGGCGTAGTCGTTCTCGTACTCCTGCTGGTAAGTGCGCTCATACTCGCGGGCGTAGTCGCGGCCCTGGAAGGGCACGTATGTCGAGTCGGTGGGCGGCGGCATGCGGGGCGGGTCCCGGATGGATGAGCGGTCGGACATGAAGGAGGCCGCGTAGGACCGCCGGGAGGATTCAGGCCTAATACTGTTTTCTGCGTGTGAGCCTCTGCCTGCGCTGGAGTTTGTGCTGTCATGAGAATCGTCTGACAAAGGAGCAACAGGAGCACTTGAAGATTTGCGCATCGCCTGCCTCCGAGGCGAAGGTCCTTCTGGTATGGTCGGGAGACTGTCCCGGAACTCAGCGTCCCTCATCTGCGCGGACTTTCGCTTCTTCTGTAGCTTGACAGTAGCAGCGCGCGCCGGCTTAGGAGTCAGAGGGGCGGATTGAGCTTCACCAAAGTCGACGATATTCACGCCCCTTACTCTCGGCGGGTGAATGGGCTCCGGGGGAGGTTGCGCCTCCTCCTGCTGCCTCAATGTCGCAATGTGCTCAGGCGTGGAGATCACCGGGTCAGCCCCGTCCGACTTCTTCCTGCGCAGCGAAAGCGGGCGTGGAAAGAGGCTGGGCGACGACTCGGGCGTCTTGTGGTCCTGCTGAAGAGAAGAAGACGATGACGAAGGAAAAGAGGCAGAAGCTGAGGGGGTCTGGACTTGAGCGCTGGAAGCTACATACGTTGATCGACTGTCTGGTTCTTCCACTTGAGTCAAGAGACGAATGGCGGCGGGATTCCTGGAGCTCCCGGTGGGAGTGCCGTCGTCGTCGCGGTCATCATAGGACGGCAGGCTGTAGTCGGGCGGTCGGTTTGGGGCCATTGTGCCTGTTCTGGTCGGCGCCGCCCAGTTACTGGGGTGAAGGTCTCGTCTGTCTCAGGAATGAGAATGAAGCTGGTCTTCCTTCTTGGTTTGGCCGGTGAAATTGAAAATGTTTCTCTCACAACGGGACCGGGCGCCGCGAAGGAGGTCTTGAGTGAGTCTGGCGTTCAGTCGTGGGTGGTGAGTTTGCCGGGCGCAGATTCTCGGCGTGCGTGGGGTCAATTGGTCGTCGTGTAAGTCGGTCTCGATGACGATGCTGGTCGGTGAGAGGAGTCGCCAACAAACGTCCGGATGAATGCAAAAAATGAGCTAGTTGGCCTCTTTTTTTCGTCTTTCGTTTTCCCGCAAAGTGGGAATGGAGTGAGATGATAAGAGGCAGGCAGCTGGGAATTCCACCTGGCAGAAAAGACGTGCAGGAAAAAGCTGGGGGGGAGCAAGACCTCGTGGGAGGGATGGAGTCTGGCGTCTGGTTGGTACCTATGGGACGCCTCCAGCGCATCCGTGAGTTGTCGAGGGGCAACAGGGCGGATCGGGGAGTTTGATCGCGTTGGCACAGCAACCCGGCCGTGATTCGCGGTGTTCCTGGCTCGGTGGGCGCAGAAAAGCGGGACGCTGCATGGGGAGGCTGCTGATGCACTGGGCTCAGAGCACCGCCTGTGGGAACTCCCTAGCAGGCGCCCGGTTAGCGCCCACAGGGGCGTCGCTGGACCCCGTCGCCTAAAACGGCCATCCAACGCTGGGCGGAGTGGCTCAAAGTAAACAGATCGAGCTGGGCACCTGGGTCATCCGCGATGCCGTCTATAGTGTCTCCCATGTCCTTTGACGATGCTCCGCCCTGCACCGCACCTGTCAACTCTCACCTGGGGCGCAACGTGGCCATTGCTCGCAGAAACACAACACAACCCCATGGCTTGGACTGTTTCTTTTTTGGTCCTGCTCCTCTTGTCTTGCGTGACGCACCGCAGATGTCGTATGCAGCACGACAGATCTTCTGTGTATCCGTCTCCCCGCCCATTCGTCTAAGCATGTAAACAACCCTCCGCCTCCAGCTAAGGTTGTCTGTTTTCTCTCTATCGTGTTGATCCACTCCTCTTTGTCTTAATCTAAACACCCCAGAGCGCCCTCCAACGCTTCTCATCCGTCCTCAGAGGCCCGTCGAACCGTCCAAACCTGGCCGGCAGCCCCTCGTTCGCCTCGGGCAGGCAGATCCACTCCCGCACGCAATCCGGAACCTCCTCCTTGATGTGACTGATGCAGATCAACGCCTGTTGGTCCGAGAGGCCCCGGACCCTCACCTCCCCGGCCTTGGCAGCCTCGCTGTCGACGATCTCCTCCCCGCTGTACGTCTTCTCCTCGCCCTTGGCCAGGAACAGCATGCACTTGTCCCGCACGGCGTCGTCCATGCCGCTGAACGCCTCGTCGAGGACCACCACGTCGGGGTTCTTGATCACTGCGCGGAGCAGGAGGGCGATGCGCTGCGCGCTGAAGGACAGGCCGCCGAAGAGAAAGTTGTCCGCCCAGGCCAGGCTATCGCCCGCGGTGTTGTGGTATTCGGGGTTCAGCTCGGCGGCGAACCAGCGAAGCGATGCCTCAACCTTGCCCCGTGCCTCGTCGTCGAGCTTGGGCACCGCCTTAAAGGTGTCTGCCCACGCGTTCTCAAGCACCTGTCGCACCGTCAAGCTACGGGGCATGTGCTGGTGAACCTCCGGGCTCGAGTGACCGATGCGTGACTGAATGTCCCAGAACGTGAGCGGCCTCTGTCCCGAGCCTGGCTCAGGGAGTCTGCTTCGGCCGAATAGCTTGATAGGGAGGGAGTACGTCTGCGGGTGGTCGGAGCAGAGAAGAGAGACGATGGTGGTCTTTCCAGAACCGTTCGGCCCAAAGACACCCCATCTCTCACCTCGTCTCACTGTCCAAACCAAACCGTCCTTGGCCCCGGATTCTGTATCCTGAGACCAGTTCCCGAGGGCAATCTTGCTTCCGTACTTAACCTGGCACCCGTCCATCTCGACTAATGGCTCTCCAACCTCCTTGGAAACGCCCTCTTCAGTGACAACGGGCCCAGCACCATGGCCCTTCTTCTCCTCTGCCCCAAAAAGCCCATCGCCGACGACACCCTTGGCAGTCAGCGTTCTTCCCATCTCAATAAGTGAATGCACAGGAAGTTTCTCATCCTCCGTCAACCCACCCTTCCATACGCCCCTGACATACTTCCTCAGCCCCTCAAGCACAATATCCTTCTCGCCCATGGACCCAATCTGGCAATCGCTCCTCAAATACACCAAATGCGTAATCCACTCAGGAATAGGGTCCTGCGGCCTCACACTCAACACAAGCCTAGGGCTCTCCTTCTCCGCCAGCCTCTCCAGCAACGGACTCAAACTCGCCACGGTAGGTGGATCGAGCCCCATGAACGGCTCATCCAGCAACAGCACCTCCGGCGTCGTCAACAGCGCCCTTGCAATCCTCGCCCGCCTCCCCTGCCCATTACTCAGAAACGCAACCGGCAGATCGAGCAGCTGCTCCAGCCTCAGGTCCTTCACAACCCTCTCCAACAGTCCCCGCGGGAGCTCCCCCTCCCCTTTCTGCCTCAGCTCCCGCTCCAGCGCGTTCTGCTCAAAGTTGCCGAGCAAAAAGTCCCGCAGACTGAAGTCCGTGTTCTCTCTTCGCGACTCGTACCGCGCGGCCAAATAAGCGCTGGTCGTCGGCCCCCCAAGACCGCCGCCCTGCTCGCCGTCGAAGCCGACGTACTGTATCGCCTTACTGGCCGTCCGCAGCCGCGCCGGCACGTCCTCGCTGGAAAGGTACGGGTACGACCGCGAGCTCGGCGGGATCGCGAGGTGCTGGCCCCGCAGGACCTGCAGCAGCGTCGTCTTGCCCGACAGCGACGGCCCCACGATGCACCAGTGCTTCTTCTTCGTGCCCTCCGCCGTCGTGGAGGGAATCTCGAAGCTCAGCTCATCGAACAGTGACGGGTTCGGGTGCGTTGTCTGCGCGTTCGGGTGTCGTCGGTAAAACGTGCCGTTGGCGATGCGCAATATCGGCGCCGAGGAGCGCGGTGGTAACCTCATCGTGAAATTTCAAAAATGTGTCCCCCAATTGGCCGTTATAACACGGTCAATTGCTCTTGTGGAATCTTGTAGTGTGTGGAATGAAGACGACCTCTCCACATGGTCTCCCTCTTGAATCGAAAGGTCTCAGGGGAGGGGAGTTGACGTCGCAGCTTTCCCCGGACTTTTTCTTATTTCGCGGGTACGTAGTTAATGTAGCGGACAGAGCTTCGCTGCGATCTCGGTGAAAGCTCGACCGTCATCGCACCCCACCACGCGGGTACCTTCCCACCTTCCTCCACAGCTCGCCCGGGGCCGGGGGAGAAAGCAGGCAGGGGTGGCCAGTGCACTCTGGCAGCTTCCTGCCGCGCCTGCATTTCAGCCTGGAAGTCACGTGCCAGCATTATCTAAGCAGTTCCGACCGGGGAAGCAACCACGGCAGCAGCCAGCAGGACCAAAGCAGCAACGGCAGGCGGACAGCTCCAGGCACATCACGTAGGCGCAAGCTCCCAGCATCCCAACCAACACCCTTCATCACAGCCGTATCAACCACCTCCCATACACACACACAACACCTCCATCACCTCCCCAAATCCAGTCAAGATGTCGGTGAGTACCCCGTCTCTCTTTCCCCCAATCTAACAATAGCCACACTAACCACAAACCCCTCCGCCCTTCTAGATGCGAATCGTCCCCGCCGCAAACCAACCCACAACCTACGCCGCCGGCGCCGCTGCCCCCTCGGCCCCGGGCGTCCACGACACCCTCCGCGCAGGCGTCGGCCAGTCCGCCCTCGACTCCCGCAACAACGTCCCCTCCTCCGCCCACCCCCTCGAGGCCCGCCTCAAGAACTGGGAGGCCACACAGGAGTCCATGCGCATGGAGACGCTCCGCCGCACCTTTGGCGCCGCCGAGCCCATCCGCCGCCAGATGGAGCTCAAGATCACCCAGAACGGCGAGTGGCGCCCCGTCGCCCTCGGCGGCCAGCAGGCCTCCGTCCACGAGGAGATCCTCCGCGGCAAGGACGCCAGCATCACGTGGGAGGACGTGTACACGGGTGACGAGAGCGTCGGCATCGTGGGCATGCACGATGAGATGGAGAGGAAGCTCAAGATCTGAGGGAGATGGAGACGGAATGACGTTCGTGAGGAACCGGAGCAGAAGGGAGCTGGATTGACTGTAACAATACGACACACGCGCAATGAACCCCCGGCTGGGGAGATTTTACACTACCCCCAATATCATAGAAGGAGTTTGCTAGAGCAGCCCAGGGATGGAAGGGAACCGAATACGTTCGTTCTAATATCCTATGGACAGATCCACCCATGGACGGGCGCGAGAGCAGACAGAACAGTCAAAAAATACAAGCTATGGATACGCCAACTCCTGTTTCCCCCCGTTTCTTCTTCGCTCTTTGTAATACGCTCGGGATGAGAGGGGTAGTGTCGGCAGATGGACACGCACTCAAGAAGAGAGAAGAAAAGTAGTAAAAAAAAGAAGAGACCCTGAAACACCCAAACCCGAGAGCCTCGAGACCAGCCGGCCCGGGGCACATCTGAAAATGCATGCAGTATCGAAACCGAACCAACCCCCTTTCCATCCGCCTTCTTCCCATGCATGTCATTCTTCCCTGTCGATTAAGGAATGGATCTTTGGAGATGTAGAGAATGCTGAAGAAAACACCGTGGTCGAGAGGCCGTTTCGATCATAAGATTACACAGCACCCGCTGCCTCCTTCGCGGTTGCGGCTGCCGCCCGAGGCCGACTTGCTGCCTCCCTTGGGCTCCTCCTCTTCGACGATGTCGGCAGGCCGAACCGTCATGTGGACGACGTTTGCCGCCTCAGCGCTGAAGTGGTACTCTGCAGGATGAGTCAGTATGAGGGAAACTACTGCTGTGTGTAGGGTATCGTGGTTTACTTACGCTTAAGCTGGTCCTTGTCATCCAGCAGCTTTCCGAAATGGATCAACCGTATGCTGCTCGGGCTGGCCGGTTTTGGATCCCACTCATCACGCCACTCCCGCAGTATCAGCTCCTTAAGGGTGTACACACTGATGCTGAAAGGATCTTTCTTCCCGGCCTCTGTCAATCCGGGAACATTGACGTTCCTCTTTGTCAGGTACTTCTCGTCCAGCTTGTAGGGGTGTCTCGCGCCGGTTGTTAACAATAGCGTGATGTTGCAGACGGGGCCGTCGGTTGGTGAGACGGTGATGGGCTGGACGTCATCGACCGAGGGACCAATTGCCAAGGAGTCGTCTTGGCTCTGGGCCGCAGGCTGCGCTGTGTTGCCGGACTCCTTCTCCTTTCCCTTGGCCGAGGGTTCGATTGAATCATCGGCTCCCGTCGCGGTGTTGGGTTCTGGGTGTGATGAGGCAGCGGCGGCCTTGGATGTGTTTGCGGCGGCATCGTCTGTTGACAGGTTCGTCATGGGAACGGCGTCCCTGGGCTGGGCCAGAGAGGCGTCGCCGTCCTTGGGGGGTGCTTGTCCTCCAGTCATGTTGGCGGTATCGGATGGTTTGGTATCGGACATTACTGAAGTCGATGTCGATGGCGATGTTTTTTTAGGGGTCGAGCAGCAGGTCGTCGAGCCTTGCAAAGGGGGACGGGACTGCGGCCTCGTTGGTGCTGGGGCAGACCGACGGCGACGGGCGACGGGCGACAGGCGACGGCGGCTGCGGTGGTGGTGAGGAGCGGCAGGGCGGCGATGGGGGAAGAGGCGACGCAATTGCTCAATTCATGCGGGAGGCGCGACGGGGGTTGCGATCAGGAATGTCGGCGAGGATTGAGGTGAGGTGAGGTAGGAAATTGGTAGAGATGTCGTCGAGTGAGACGGATTGGAAGGTGCTACTACTACCAGTTGGTTGGCAGTTGCCAGGATGGGGGGTTTGTGAAGCGGAAGGCGGACCCAAGTCAAGTTCCAACCATCCAGCAATGTGGGAAAAAGGAAGGACGGGATGTTATGGGGGTCGGATTGTTGGAGACGGGAGGTTGACGGACGGGCTGGGCGCTGTCTGCTGGGTGCCCTGGGCTGGGCTGGGCTGGCTGGGCTGGCGGAACTCACAGGCTGGGACTGGAGTGGACTGGGAGCAGCACCTCGCTCCCGTCAGGTCCAGGTCTCCAGGTCACAGTGTAGGAGGGTCGGGTGCTGGTGCGGTGCGGTGCGGTGCCCAGATGGGTGGGCAGCCGTTCGGCAATAAGTCCGTTGTGCTGGGTCAGGTCAGGCCCAGTCAGTATAGGAGTGCGATTGAGGGAACCTGGGAGGCGAACCTCATGCTCCAGTAAAGGTACCCGGCAACTCAGATACGGTTATGCTGACTACGTGCCTACCCTTCTTAGTAGGTAGGTACCTGCAATCGCGATTCCTTCCTTGCTCGTCTCTGTCACTGACACCATCCCCTCCATCGTCGTCCGTTTATTTCCTGATTTCCGTTTTTTTGAATTGTACTGCATCATTTGGCCTGCTGGACATGAACATGGAAACAGAGACGCCGCCGCGTGGCTCTGGTAGCACTGCGGGTGTTGATTATGCGCCTTCTACCTCTCTGCTTCGCTCTAAGGTGCCCCAGCCAACAACATGGCGGTAAGGTCAGCCCAAGACACGAGACAGGGTAATGCCGTGATGACAGCAGGCGGTGGTCCCGTTTGTCTTCCCGTTGAATTCCCGGGCAGATCGGATTACGGCGCAGGCACGGCGTCTTCGAGTCGTGCAGCCTGTTTCGTCTTGTAGGTCCAGCTTGACAACCAGCCTACCTACTTAGCAGATGGCGTCCCTAGCAGACACAGGCAGGATATCGGTCGGCGGTTGCGGCGGAAGCCGGCAGCGAAGCGGCCAACGATCGGTCAAGCGTTGAGGATGTCAAGCCGGAATCACGGGCTTCGGTCTCTGGTTCAGTGTCGAAAATCCAAATGTCGGTCACTCGGTCCTCTGCAAAGTACAGCAGCGTCGTTTTTAGTACACGCTGCCGTTGCCCTTTCTGTGTCAACAAACGAGATGAGTGGCCGAGCTGATTTATGGCAATGAGACAATGATGCAGCCAGCGTTCAAGGGGCTGGCAGGCTGGGTTGCTGAGAAACGAGGCCGGTGATGAGTGCAGTAATGAAGTTACTGCTGCTGTTCCCCTATTCTTCCTCGGTTTGCATCAAGAAACGGTCCTCCATTGCAGACGCAGGGTCCAGGATCGCGGCGACTCCTTGGAAGCCAATTGTCTTTTTTCGAAGAAACAGAAAGCCACTGCCCACTTCCAGGCACACGCTGGGCTCGATGAACCAATATTCTGGCTTCTGAAGGAACAGCGGGAAGGGTCCTGCTTGCTTCCATCTGCTGCAGCACTCCACTGAGAGTGGAAGTCAGAGTGAAGCACCTCACTGCGGCCTCAACTCTCAAGAGAAGGATCCACCCAGCTCTGCTCCTCCCCCATCAATCCATCGGCCGTTCCCCCTCCTTCTCCAGACTCCAGATACTGTCCCAGGTCCCGTCGTCCCCTTTGCCTATCGGATCGGGTGCTTCCACAGCACGTCCTGCAGCCGAGATGCGAGGTGCGAAAACCGAGAACCCACAGGGGCAGTCGCACTGTATTTCTCCCGCTAGGCCTGCTCCAGTCTAGCGCCTTGGGCTGGTGGGGTAGGGGGCGCTATCGGATTTTGGCAAGCACCAACACCGGGCGGTCGCGGTTAGCCCCCGCCATCAGAAGGGCCGCTATCTCTCTCGACATGACACACTTCCAGCGCACGCACTGTATGATGCACTCTGAGGTCAGCCCAGCTGCCTTTCAGTGGAACATCGATTGAGGGAAGGATCAAATGGAAAACACGGCACGAAGCGCGGGCAACTCATCCGCGGCGTCAATGCCAGTCCAGCCCAGCCTCGACGGAATTGCCTCACTCGCTCAGCCAGGCACGACACCGCACTCGCTAGGCCGCTCATCAAACAGGGTACGTACTTGTTCACCGGCACCCTTCAGGTCAGGTCGTGCCCCGTCGGTTCTCTTATTTTCCAGGGAACATCCAGCTTCACCACCCTGGCCAAGTGTCTGGGCATCCCAAATCCTCCCCCGGCGTCCATCCCGAATCCAAATGCAATCGGGCACGCTGGAAACGTGGGCCAGGAAAAAACGACACGAGTTGTTTCAGTCCTCCTCCATACGCGTGTGGGAAACACAGCTTGGTACTGTACTCAGACGCTCGAAAGAGAGCCGCAGCAGACAGACCCCGAGGCGTCACCGCTATGCTTGTTTTCTTCGTCAACGCCAGTGCGCCGTCTCTGTCTCTGTTTCTGAACATGGGACAAGTCCAGGAACGACCAAACTCATACTCAACCCTCACCACCTTACGCCGCAGCACGGAGGCTCATTCGCTTGATCTACGCAGGACGGGAAGGAATCCCACGCTCAAGCCCCATGTTCCTCACGACATCTGCAGAAATAGAAGCCGCAAGCTCGAGCTCCTATGCGGCTCTGGAGTCTCTATCCTTTCCCTTTCGGCCTACCGCTGCTCTCATCAGTTCACAGCCTCAACATCGGCAACCTCCGGTGTATACGGCATAACGAAGGACTTGGAGGATTCGACCCGATCCAAGTCACAGAACAGCTGCAGAATGTCAAGCAACAGCAGCAGCAAACAATACACACACCGTAGCAGAGTCGAGAACACTACGAGCTGAGCCGACCATCACAGAACCCCTCCAAAAGGATCAAAATGTCAAAAGAGGGCAAGACACAGCCCAAAAGCCACGATCTTAGACCTAAACGCATCCAGCCGCCAACAAGATGCCGGTCCAAGAACTCAGCTTCCTTCAACTGCCCGGACACTGGGACTAGCTCCATCCACGGCTCCAACGGAAAGGGCGCCCGAGTTCCAGCCCGTTTCTCGAGCTAGTCACCCAGCCCGCCAATCGCCTCCCTCGTCCTCCTCGTTACTCACCGACCTGCCTTTAACTGAAGTGCGGAACGGCGAGCGATGGACGCTGCCATTCCGATACCCTACCTCGAGTCGCCTGCTTCTTCGAGATATCGCCCATCAGGTACCTCATGGAGGAAGCCTGTAACGTGAAGACAATGTCAAATCCCCCACAGACCGGGCGCACTACAAACTCCACAACCCCGGTCTCATACCCGTGCCTCAAAATCCCCAAAAACATTCCTACCCCAGACCACCACAAAGCCGAGAAACACCACCGATCCTTCCCCTCCCTCGGCGCCCTCTCCACGTTACTGGTTCCCTCGCTCAATTCGCGGGGGAATCCACCTTTCTCCCCCACCCGATTGCGAAAACGCCAAGCCAAGTATACGTACAATACACCACACCATCCATCTGCCCTCACTCATGATATTAGTAAAGCAGTGAGAGTCTGTCCATCCGTATATCACCCCGAAGACCGGTGCCCCTTCAACTGAACTCTGCCAGCTACGGTGTCTGGAGACGTCGCCCCAAATTCGGTCCCTCTGCCAAACCGGAACCATTTTGCCCCTCTCTTTTTATTTTTTTGGCTCGAGACTAAGATCTAGGTCCCCAAAAATCTTGGACCTATTCGAATAGACTTCCCGCGATCCCGCCACTCTAACAAAAGCAACAAACCTCCCGTACGCCCGCTCTCGAGACATCTTTGCGTTTCCTTTGTCTGAACTTCCTTTGAGAGCGTGATGGCACTAATCTGCAATCGCGAACCTTGGAAGAACCAACTACCCCGCGAATTCAGGCAGCCTGTAAAACATTGCAGTCCAAGCCCGTAGTGACACCGTACTTGACCTACTCAGACTCCCATTATCGTGATGTTGAAGCAATAATTAAAAGTTGAATGAATCCAAGAATAGGGTCTCTGCCATTACCGACGAGGATATCAAATGTAATTTACGTACAGAAGCTTCCCACACATTACGCTCGTCCGCTCAGCAACCCTCACAAAACTACTACTGCCTGTTACCCCTTTGCTCTCATAGCACAAGTAGGTCCCCGTTGCCTCCCTGCGCCGGCTGCACAATCTGTTGCGGCGCGTGCTGGTTGACGACGTACCCGGTCTCGTAGCCCGACGTGTCCCCGAACGCGTCGCCCTGGTCGATCCGCATCGCCGCCATCTGCTGCGGGCCGATGCTGGAGAAGTAGGCGTCCGCGTCGCTGACGGCCTGGGCGAGGTTGCCGTTGGCATCGTCGCCGCCCGCAGCGGCATTGTTGACGTGTTGGCTGTGCATGTTGATGTCCTGCGCCTGGCCGCCCATGCCGAGCATGCTGAGACTCTTCTGGTTCTCGATCGACGTCGGGAGCAGGTGCTTCTGCAGCGCGGGCGAGTCGATGAGCTTGCGCGGGCGGGCGGAGCGGAAGACGGTCTGCACGGGCTTGAGGTAGACGGTGGCGAGCGTGCCGACGTTGAGGCACATCTCCTCGAGGGTCGCGGGGTCGAGGCGCTCCGACTCGGCCGTGATGGCGGGCTTCTCGCCCATGACGATCTTCTTGGCCGCGTTGATGTCGGTGGACAGGAGGCGCCAGTACATGTACGCGCGGTCGCGGAGGTCGGGGTTGTCCGTCTCTTCCGTAGCCCACTTGAGCACTTTCGGGACCAGCTCCGCGCCCTTTGTCGGCCTCTGGATGAAGAGCTTGACGGTGGCGGTGAGCAGCGCCAGCTGGACCTCCACGGGCTCCTCGGCGAAGGAGTACAGGAAGTCCTCCAGGAGGGCGTCGCTGTTCTCTATCCTGTCCGCGTACTGGCCAATGACCCACACCATGGCGGCCTTGGCCTCCGGCTCGTCGAGAGAGTCGAGGTGCTCGCACAGGGTGCTGATGATGGACTCGTACTGGTTGGGGTACTTGCGGAAGATGTTTCTAATAACGACCGTGGCCTCCTGCACAATGTACGTAACCTTGGTCGCGACCAGCTCCAAGAGCAGGTTGATACACTGCCTTGCTGCCGGTTCGATCTTGATGGCGAGCTTTCCTATGGCTCGCACGGCTTTGCGCACAAAGTGTACATCGATCTCGGTGGCGTACTCTCGCAGTTCGGTGAGCACCTCGTCAATGTTGTTCTCGTTGGCCAACATGAAAATGAGCTCCAGCTTCGTGACCTTGACGTAGATGGGGTCGTTGTACTTGCAGAAGAAGACGCGGATATCGTTGCGCAAGACCTCGGGCCGACGCTGCAGAATCAAGAGAGCATTCCTCAAGGCCAGGTATTGCACTTCGGGTCCTTTTGCGAGAAGCGTTACCAGGGGCGGCGACAGCTTTTTGCAAAGCGCCGCGTTATGTCTTTGGTCGGCGATGTAGTTCATGAGATACAAAACGACACGGATACACGTCAAAACGACAGCAGAGTTGGAGTGTGATAGGCGTGGTGTGATACGCTCCGCCAGGAGAAGAGCTTCGTTTCCATCTTGCGGCACGTATGACATGAGCGCCTCGAGGATGTACGTCTGGCCCCATCTGAACGTCTGTGTCAGCACTCAATCTTGACATCACGCTTTGGGTGTCAACCTACTCAGAGCAGTCCGCCAAGATGGCCACCATTTTTGAGGCATTGCTGTAGTCGATGGTGAGCTTGATCGCATCGCTGCGCTCCCAGATGTCCATCAGAGACGCCAAAGCGCTGGCAACAACCGTAGGGTTGTCGTCTCTGAGCAGGGTATTCAATCTGTCGATCAAATCGGAACCCTCAACCATTCGTCGATCGTGGTCGTAGAGCTTCGCGACGCAAAACGCTGCCGTCTTCCTCACGTATGGGTCGGCATCCTTCAGCATGTGCTTAACCAGTGGAACAGTCGCTTCGACGAATTCGCGTACGTGGATGTAGGACATCGTTCGGAGTGCAAGCGCTCTGACGAGAGGGTTGTGGTCTTCCATATCCTGGACACTGTCAGTCACGGCTTCTTACGCAACATCGCAACATGACAACCTACCTGCTCTAGTACTGGGATCGCCTGAACTGCAATCTCGGGTCGCATTCTGGCATAGTTCACCAAAAACAAGAAGCACCTGGAGTTTGTCAGAACGAGCCCCCTGGGAGCGCAGACATGAGGCCATACATCTTCTTGATTTCCAGACTCTGGATATGCATGCAGCCGATGATGTCGGGGAACAAGGCAACCATGTCATTGTTGCTCATGGTCATGTTGGCGACAATCTTCTTGAGGGCGATCTTCTTGTTCGCATTGTTCTTGTCCTTCTTGCCGCCGCTGTTCAGCTCGAGCCTAAGCTCGGCTACCTTGCCCTTCGAGGTTGTCAGCTGTCTGGAGATGTAAGGCGGCGGGGGCACATAGGCCATGAACATGCTGGGCGGCGCATATGCAAGCATTCAGGCAAACATGGGCCAGGAGAAGAAACTCGGTGATGGTTGCGAGGCAGCTCAAAGCCGCAGGGTGCAGAAGGCTAGGGTATGGGGGAGAGGGGAGATAATGTAGACTTTCAGAACCAAGACCTCGATTTCTTCAAAGTCATGACAGGGGTTCAGATGCAATACATGCAGGTATCACACGACAACAGACGGGCGCACCCAGCAAAGAGTGTGCAAGACAGAAGAGGCAGAAGCTAGAGCTTACCCTGGCAAACAACTTGGAGTCTCCTCCACCCTGAGCGGCCGACATGATGACGCCCTCCTGTATGAGACCTGGCGGTGGTCGGTGTGGTAGTATGTAGTGCGAATCTTAGACGGTGGTTCCCCTCCGGACAGGCCTCCAACAAGCTTTGCCGGCGTGTGCTTCGATCGGGTGGTGGTGGTGGTGGGCGATAACACCACAGACCCCTCACGCCCAGCTGTACGAAAGACGGCAGAGAATGGGTAGGTATCGTTGACGCTGTTTGCTTCCCCCGCGGGCCTAGGATCAAGCCACCCAATTGGTAAGAGGGTCGCAAAAGTTGGCGGAAGGCTGCAGTTTTCCTGGACTCGAGTGTCTTGGAATGGTGGGAGGGGGCGCAGGTGCAGAAGTGAGGGATGTCACATGCGTCGTTGGGGCCGGGGGGTTTTCGATTCGCGGCCAATCGAAGGGTGTGTTTGCTGCGATAGTCCTTCTCTCGTCTCGATGCCAGATGCCGGCCGGATCTCCTCGAGGTCGGAGTTGTTTGTTTTCTCGCGCGGCGCAAGTCCGATCGATTTCGCGGGTGCGGCAACGGTCGATTGAAGAGTGCCGCTTTCGGTGCAACGGCGACTTTGCGGGATGTCGTCGTCGTCGGTCGGTTCTCGTGGACGGCCCGTTTTCGTTTCCAGATGTTTAAGGGGAAACGTTGGGTGAGAAAGGGTCCCAAAGCTCCCGCCGTTCCGCGGTGGATGCGACAGGCCCCCGGTACGCTACTTTACCACTCGCATGTCGCAGCAGTCGCGCTCGCCCCGGTTTTAGCTTATCGGCCTTATGCAGGGCCGATAAGACATGGACCCGACCTCCGGTTGCTGCTAAGGTAAGCAGGCGACATCGCCTGTCCCATGGTTTAACCGAGCTATGGTGGGGACCTTATCCAACGTCGTCGCGAGCTGTCAACGCCGCCTCCGAAGCTTTCATCCCAACGGCCGCGCCCGTGTCCTCAATTACCGAACCCGAAGACCCAACCGACCGATCCCTATATCTACAAAGATGGCCCTGGTCAATGGCTCCCTCCCTCGATGGGTCGCGGATTTGCAGTCTCCTCCGGCCGCAAAGTCCAAGGTCTCAGGCATCTCCGATCCCCCCGGCTACCCATCGCAGTCCACTGGCTCCAAGGTACGGAATCGCGTCGAGCTCGCGTTGGAGTTGCGCTGACATCTGCATACAGAAGCAGAAGGATCAAAAGGTGCAGCCTCAACCCCGCAAGCAGCAGTCGCCCGAGGAGATGGACACGTTGAAGGTCAAGAAGGCGTGGGAAGTCGCCCTCGCCCCCGTAAAGAACCTGCCCATGACGGCCATCATGATGTACATGTCGGGCAACTCGCTGCAGATCTTCAGCATCATGATGGTCTTCATGGCGTTCAAGAACCCTCTCGTCGGTCTCACTGCGGTCAATCAGGCGTTTGAGAGGTTCGAGTCGGAGACGAACAAGGGCAAGATGCTCCAGGTCAAGCTGGCATACGTCGCTATGCAGTTTGTTGCGCTGGGCTTGGCTGTGTGGAAGGTCAATTCGATGGGACTGTTACCGTATGTGTTATCGTTTGCCAGCATCGGCCATATACTAATACGAACACAGGACAACACGATCAGATTGGCTGGCTTGGGAAGTCCGCAGAGAACCCCTGGAGTTCTCAGTGCCCGCGTTATAGACATCAATTCAATTCAAGGCTGCGTCTCAGCTAATTCCCGCCTACATTATCATTAATCGTCATTGTCTGTTGCTCAGATTGTCCGCTCCCTGCAGTCGACGCCGCAGTTCCAGTATCTCCAATACGCTGAGTGACAGGATCATGTTCAGGAACAACTACTAAGCTTATGTCGTTGAATGGATCATCTTCTATGGGCGTATCAAGCCAGCGTTGCCTTTGTGTCGAGGTTGACTCGTCATGTGGACTCACACCGAATACTACGATGTCAGGTTGATCATCCGATGTCGCCCGTTGCCGATCACGTTGCGGTCGTTGTATTGGAATGGCCACGCCATTATGTGGTATGCCTGCAGTTTCTTCCACCGGTTCTTGGAGAGCCCTGGCAACAGCGGCACCCCTTTCGGCTAACATAAAGGCCTCAGTTAGGTCGTTTTCGTCGTCAAGGATTGCCTCTAAGGGCAGCTCAAGGGGCAAAGTCTCGAGAGATTGGAGGTGGATCGCTCCAAGCTCAGTGAGAAGGCTGTCGACATGAGTCTGTTAAACGAGTCAGCTCCGCACCAGGGTCAGATTGGGCGATCCTGTCTCACCATCTCGGTCAACATCTAGGTTGGTCTGAATATATGTATGGGTTTGTTTGTCACGGTTAAGGCGCTGCTCATTGCTTTTCATGGAGGTGGGGGCCATAGACTTTTATAACCATCGACCGATCCATCAACCGATCCTTAGACTGCAGTCGAGGTTGAACAAGAGGCTTCAGATGTCAAGGCTGTCCGGATCGAAGGTGACAGCATCGCAAGCTTATTTTTAGCTCACACTGATCAAGACAACCATCGCAACACCACGAAGAGGACGTGTTTCAACCAGTAACGCTCACTTGACACGCTCGTGTTTGTTTTTAACTGTAAGCGGCTGAAGCCAGTCCGAGTCTTTACCCCAATTTGGAATCCCCAACCGTGTGAGAGACATTGCTCCGTACAGGCTGGCAGTATTCCCCATAGGTTTGTCGGAGTTGATTCTGACGTCCTGTCGCGTGCTCATTGGCCAATGGGTTGGTAGGAAAAGCAGGCTTCGAAAGCTGTACCTGACACTAGGACGATGACGATCCCTTTACATTCCAGCTCTGGGTTCCAAAATCTGGAACATGACCACCCACCGTTTCCTGGCGTGTTTTTCGAAACAAGTGGGCTTGCTGGCCAGGCCATGCTTGCCCATCCGCACACTAGAGGTCGCTCACCCGCAAGAAACCTGTGTACACGATGCCGTGTTTGTGCAAGATGTCTCTGGTTCATGTCTCTCGTGGTTTCTGTCGGGGCAGTCGATGTCTGATCCGCGGCCTTTGTTCTTCGTCTATCCAGACGTGCCCTGAATCGCCCGCCCAACCTCCAGCCGTAGGTAGATGGTTGCCTCGACTGCCTCACCGGTCTAAGTCGACGCTAATATATCTCCCTTATCAAACCTTCGCGGAATAAGCCTGCCAGGTCTTACCAGAAGCCAATCCCCGAAGCTGTATCCTGGGCATTTGCACATGCTTATTGAACGCGGCACCGAAAACAGAGAAACCCATGTTGAGAATCGCGAAGGAGGCTCAAGCAGCAGCCTCGATGACATACACCTCATTCTCCATCCAGCCCCCCCTATTTCCCTTTGCTGCTTTGTCCGTTGTGAACCGACAGAGACCGATGGCTGAGACCATCCAACCCAGCAGAAAATACTTAGGATCGAGGCAACGGGACTGGCGTACGGGCGCTACGGTAGTGCTGTTGAGGCATTTGGCGGAACGTCTGGAGCTTTGGCATCGTTCCGTGGCGTTGACCCGCATTCTAAATATGAGGGGTTACCGTTGGCAGGTAAGCCACAGCGGAGCGACGCAACGATCACAGGCTCGATGACAGACCGCGCAAGAAGACCCCCCTCGATGTTTGGCCGTCACATACGAAGCAACTGACTCGAGCAAGATGGTCCGAATAAGTTGTGAGATCTCAATGACGCTATCAGTTATCGCATCTGCCTAACCGCGCTTTGCGCAACAATGTACCCAATCATCACGAGGCTTCCTTCATCCGCCTCTCATTCCTCCAGCCCGGCCCATTTCTAACAATCAGAAACATCATCGGACTGGTCACTGCGCACAACGCAGCAATGAACGTGAAGCACCACCCCCTGCCCATGCCAGAAATCATGTACTCGATGATGGCCGTGCCCACGGCGCCCACCAGGCACCGGACGAGGTTGTTCGCCGCCGTGGCCGTGGCCGGCGCCTCGGGGTTCAGGTCCACGATCAGCGTGTTCATGATGCTGAAGGACCCCGTAATGGTCAGCCCGATGATGCTCTGCAACACCAGCGGCGCCGCGACGCTCGTCTCGAGCTGCAGCACCCAGCCGTACGCCACCAGCGTGATCAGGCCGACGACGACGGCGGGGTAGACCGGCTGCAGGCGGGCCTTCTCGATGGGGAACTTGCTGAGGTCGTCGCCGCGCCGGCGGTCGATGGTGAATCCGATCTTTCGTGCGATGCGCCTGTAGTTCCAGTCGAGCACGTACCCCTGACCCAGGCTCGCGATGCAACAGCCCGCGCCGTACGGTAGATAACACAACCCCAGTTGCAAATCATTAAAGTGGTAAATCTCCCGGAACAAAGTCCCCAACGTCGCGGCTACATCGATGAAGGCAACGTACAACAAGGAATTATACACCAGGATCAGCGCCATCTCCTTTTCAAAGATGATCTTGACCGCCCTCAACGGGTTCGGGAACCTCAGCTTGCGCGCCGGCTGCCCCGCCACCGACTCCTGCCTCTCCAGCCCGGCCGCCTCCCGCTCGCGGTGCCGGCGCCGGCGCCGGATGAGGTCCAGCACGGGGCGGTTCCACGTCTGCGCCGGGACGGACCCGTTGCCGACGACGTTGCGGCACGTCTCGGGGATGAAGAGCGCGAACGGCACGAGCCAGGCCCCGATGAGCGCGACGCAGAACCAGAAGATGGACGCCCAGCCAAAGTACTGCGTGAGCACGCCGCCGAGGACGGGGCCGATGGTGGGGCCGACGTTAATGCCCGCGCCGACGATGCCCATGTACTTCCCCCGCTCGGAGGACATGGAGATGTCGGCGACCATGGCGAAGCCGAGAGCGATGGCGCCGGAGCTGCCGCCGGATTGGAACATGCGCAGGACGATGAGGGCGGCGTAGTTGCGCTGCAGGGCGAGACCGATGTTGGCGACGAGGTAGATTGCGAAGGCGACGAGGAAGGCCGGGCGGCGGCCGGCCATGTCACCGAAGTCGCCGAAAAGGGTGGGCGAGATGGCCTGGAGGATCATGTAGGACGTGACGGTGAGGTTGACGGCGGCGACGGAGACGTGGAGGTCC